TAATGGATGTTAATTTTGGCTGTCAAAGAATAATGTGGTATCATCACCCAACCAAAGCGATTAGTCATTTCATTTTGAAATGGTATTATATTATAAAAGGAAAAAAATGCTTATTAGCTTTACCTCTTAAAGATTAAAAAAAAAATCATTCTAAAACTGCATTATTTCAATAAATTTTTATTGAAAAAAATTAAACTATCCTATTTTTAAAGTATATATTAAGGTGATTTTTATTTTTATTTTTTTTAATTTTTTAAAAGTAAGGTGGACAAACGCTAACCCCTTATAGAAAAAATGCATATCAACAAGATCTTAAAAAAAAAAATTAGATTTTAATTTTAAATTATTTTATTTTATTTAATATAAAATTTAAAAATTTATTTTATTAAATATTAATATTTAAATTTAAAAATTAATTAAAATTTTAAATTTTGAATTAAAATTTTAATTTTTAAATATAAATTAATATTTTAATTTTTTAAAAATTAAAACTAATATACACTAATTTTGTATATTATATAAAAAAAAATTACTATTATATTTACCATGCAAAAAATTCCCACCTAAATGGAATCTCTGATCCATTTGTGGCCCACCCGACCCACCTACTTTTGACCCAGTCCCCCTAATCCCCCCCTTAAAACGACATCGTCTGTCCCAATCATATCTCCCAAGATAACCGTTATATCCGCATTATTTCCCCCTTTTCTTCTAATTCCTCAGCCGCCTATTTTCCAACCGTTTAAACCCCATTTTTCCCCTCTGTTTCTTCTCCATCTTCAACCTCTGTTTTTCTCAATCCAAGTTCCCTCTCAAAACACCTTTTTGATTTATGATGTCAAGAAAGCTTCTTGTTTTCTTGTTCCTCATCACTTTTCTCTTCAAACCCATATCTTTTCTTGCTTCTGCTGAGAATGTGACTTTCGATTTCCATTCCTTCACTCTCCGCAACCTCACCCTCCTCGGCGACTCTCACCTCCGGAACGGGGTTGTTAGCCTCACACAAGAGCTTGGTGTACCATCTTCTAGTTCCGGTACTGTGATTTACGACTACCCAATTCTGTTTTTCGATCAAGATTCTAATACCACGGCTTCTTTCCACACGAGATTCTCTTTCAGGATCAAGAACTTGAATCCGAGTTCTTTTGGTGATGGGTTGGCGTTTTTCCTTTCTCCGGATAACCAGACTCTGGGTAGTCCCGGAGGGTATCTGGGTCTGGTTAATTCTTCGCAGTTGACCAAGAACAGGTTCGTCGCGGTTGAGTTCGACACCAGGTTGGATCCCCATTTTGGCGACCCAAATGACAATCATGTTGGTTTGGATATTGACAGTCTGAATTCGATCAAAACTGTGGATCCAAGCTCACAAGGGATTGATCTAAAGAGTGGGAAACATCTCACAGCTTGGATTGATTACATGAATGAATTGAAGCGCCTGAGAGTTTTCTTGAGTTCTTCGGATTCAAAACCCCAAAATCCACTGTTGACTGTGGATATCGACCTTTCTGGGTATCTCAGGGAGATGATGTTTGTGGGTTTTTCAGCTTCAACTGAAGGGAGCACTGAGATTCACTTGATTGAGAATTGGAGCTTTCATAGTTCTGGGTTATCTCCAGTCCGACATCCTCACAATGTATCTGATAGTTCAGTGACGATAATAACAGATATCCATAGATCTAGTTCTGGTAGTAACCATCACAAGAAGCTTGCTTTGGGTCTTGGAATTGCTGGTCCGGTGTTCTTTTGTGTAGTTCTTTCAGTGTTCGGCTATATTTCTCTGAGAAAATGGAAGGGTGCGAGAACAGAGAAAAACCTCAAAGCTGAGTTCGTAGCAGGGCCCCGACAGTTTAGTTACAAAGAGCTTATGTCAGCTACAAGAGGGTTTCATTCAAGCAGAATCATAGGCCACGGTGCATTTGGGAATGTTTATAAGGCCATCTTCATGTCTTCTGGTACAATTGCAGCGGTGAAAAGATCAAGGCATTCCCATGAAGGTAAGTCTGAGTTTCTTGCTGAATTGTCCGTTATAGCTTGCTTAAGGCACAAGAATTTGGTTCAGCTACAGGGTTGGTGTGCTGAGAAGGGTGAATTACTGCTTGTTTATGAGTTTATGCCAAATGGAAGCCTTGATAAATTGCTGTATCCAGAATCTGGACATGGCATGTCATTGAGTTGGTGCAATAGGAAGAATATTGCAGTTGGTCTGGCTTCTGTGCTGTCTTACCTGCATCAAGAATGTGAGCAGCAAGTCATTCACAGAGACATAAAGACTAGCAACATAATGCTTGATGGAAACTTCAACGCAAGGCTTGGTGATTTTGGACTGGCTAGGCTCATGGATCATGATAAGAGTCCTGTTTCCACACTTACTGCAGGAACCATGGGGTACCTTGCTCCTGAATATCTTCATTGTGGGACTGCAACCGAGAAAACTGATGTTTTTAGCTACGGTGTTGTTGTCCTTGAAGTAGCTTGTGGTAGGAGGCCTATTGAGAAGGAACCTTATAGTCAAAAACTAGAGAATTTGGTTGATTGGGTTTGGGGATTGCATACTGATGGAAGGATCTTGGAGGCAGCTGATAAAAGATTGAATGGGGAGTTCAAAGAGGAAGAGATGAGGAAGCTACTGCTGGTGGGTTTAAGCTGTGCACACCCTGATAGTGCAGAGAGGCCTTCAATGAGGAGGGTTCTTCAGATACTCAACAATGAGGCTGACCCAGTATTCGTGCCAAAGAGGAAACCAAGCCTTATTTTCTCTTGTAGCTTGACTGTTGAAGACATTGTTTCTGACGATGAAGAGTGCCAGAGAGCTTCTGTTAGTCATGATGAAGATCACATGAAAGATTCTGCTAGTCAAGTGTGAGATCAAATTTCACTGCTAGATTTCATATTCACTTTATAGGCGCCTGTTGATTGTTTAATTCTTTTAATTGCTTTAACCATTGCATCTGTTTTGTTGTTTTTTAGTTCACTGACTTGAGACTAGCAGTTCACTGGCCTGAGTTCAAAACTCATGTTGAACTGTATGGTCTCTGCAAATAACTAAGGTTCAATGAAAAGTTTGAATTTGTAGCTTTTCCTCTCCACCTGTATTTGTAATAGAAATGATAAGCCGTAGTTTTCTTTTCTTTTCTTTTCTTTTTGGGTATAAAGCCATAGTTATTTTTGAATGAATAATCAGAGAATGAATGCTGTAATTTAGAATTGGATTCAAAATCAATATGGGAAAAAGGTATTGGTGGTCCAATACGTACTTATTAAAATGTTGTCTTCCAAGTTTCTACACAGATATATATATATATATAAATATATATATATATATAGCACATGTGCAGAATAGAAAGAGTACACTGGCAAAGAAACAGCAGCAGTATCTATGTACTTGATTTATGCACGGGATTTGGGAACTGTTTTTGGATATAAACTCTTGTCAGATTTGTTTCCTGCTCTTGGGTTATTCCCCAAAAGAAGTGTGTGCAATATTACTTGTTAAGGTTCATTGATGCATGCTTGTAGCTCCTGCAGATTCACATGTTGCAAAGTAGTCTCTGTCTTCAGACCCATTTCCAGCATAGAGCATATGTAGACATTGTCCATTTCACCTTCCATTTATACTCCTATTTGCCTTGAATCATGCCCCCAAGGGGCTTCAATTTGCTTTAATTATGAAAATATTGCTTCCTTGCTCAACTGATCTGTACGAGCAGCTAAACAAGTGTTAACAAAAGTTAATTATAGCATTTGAGATATAATTTCTTGATCAAGAAAACATGCTGAAGGTTTGAAACTCAGAGTTTGAGTACTTATCTCACAATATAGGAACTTGAATAAGCAAGCATGATCCTGGCATCATCCTCTTTTGCTCGATGCATATCTAAGGAGTAATCTAATTAAAAGAGCATTCTATTTCTCTCATCCTTATCTAGTAGTCTATATATGATTCACACGGGAGAATCTTAAAAGAACATCAATGCTTCATTCTCATGGCTATGAGGGTGAACAGTGAAGATAAGAAAACCTTACATATGACAGCAATTTGGTGACAGATATAATTCATCAGATGAAGAAGAGTTGTGTGATGATGATGACAGAAGAAGAGAAAGTACACTCCCAACACAGGCGAAGACAGTCTTTAGCCCATCCCGGGTTGTGCTCCCTCTCTTCTGTCAACATGTAGTATCCCTCTCACCTCATATTCATATATAAGTCATATTCTCATCCGTCATATATGTATACATCGTCAAAATCTCTGCACCTGCATATCCATATGTAGCAGCTATTTTATCAAATCATCAGACTGTATATACACACAAGCATGCATATTCATGACTGTGCATGCAATCATCCATCTATTATCATATACACATTCATGTAATCAACATGGACATTTATATATAAAGTAAGAAACACAGAAAAGTCATACATACATTTCCATAATTAAAATGACACCAATGATTTTCTAATTATATTATAAGTAAATCCAACTCAAGATGAAAGAGGCAATCAACTTCATCAAGACACTGACACTAATTCATGTATTTGCATGCATGTAATGTAACATAGAGATATCCATTGATATCTATATATTATATATGATATTGCTGGTAACATAGAAATATCCAAAACTTGCCTGCAAAAACAAACCGACTTGGAAATCAAAATCACCCCACTAGGGAATCATAATCCTTAGAACCCTAAAATATTAGGGAAGAGGTGAAAAAGAGAGAGCTTTAAGTTCTGGGTTTAATACATCAAAGATGAAAACTTCGATCTCTTCCAATTTGATCAGAAACATCACACTTTTTTTTTAGGAGAATGAATAAAACCACAAGATCAAAAACCACCTTCAAAGATTTCTTAATCTTTTCATACAAAATACAAACATTTTGTAATTAAAAAACATCCACAGATCTTGATGAAAATTCAGAAGAGAATATAAACATTCAGAATTCAGAGTAATCAATGAAAATTTGAGAACAGAAAAGGAGAGATTTAAGGAAGAGAAACGCATAATTAAGGAACTCCCATAACAAAAACTTGAACGAAACAGCTCCTTGGTGTCCCATTCTTATAGGCGGAGTGGCCACCTGCTATCACCGGTAACATACGAGTCTGACCGGTTAAAATGGTCCCTAAATTCCAACCTAAGGCTATTTGGCTTGGTCGGTTTGTACTTTTTTTAAAGGGGATAGTCTTCCTCTTTCTAAACCTTCTTCATTCATCTTATAACTTAAATTTAAGATTTTAATACGAAAAGTTAACTTTTTAACTGTTAAAATGTATTCTAAAGGACATTAATAATTGTTTTATTATTAAAAAGAACACATCCCAACTTCCAAATTACTCTCATTAATAAGAATAAATATGAAAATTTAATTAGTAAGGGGTGTACTTTTATGAATTTTTATAATTTTTCTTGTAATTGTCCCAAACAAAAAAAGTGATATGTAAAAAGTGTGTTGTTATGATTTTTTGTAATTTTTTTTGTGTGATTGTCTTAAATAAAAATGTGATAAGTAAAATAGATTAACATAATACTAGTACTACTAAATAAAATAATATTTTGACACAAGATTTTCAAAATAAATATGAGTATTAAATACTAACTAATTGATAATCTAACACAAAATTAAGTATGAATTTCTTTAATATTTCATTAAACATATATTACACTAGATATCAACGGATGAATAATATGTTGTGCCAACTCTTCACTATGCTAATTCAAATTTCAAAACATTAATTTTTCCTTAACTTGGAAAATTTTTTGATATGGCGAATAGAAAATAATAATTCCTTTTTAAGTTCCTCTTAACCTTTCAGCCATAAAATAATAGGTGTGAGATCATTTTGAAGAGGAGAGAGACGTCCCAGTTGGGTTTGGCATATCATACAATACAATAGAGTTCCCTTCCTAAACTTGAAACCAATTTGGGGAGAGACTCAAACTGGTTGTTCAGGTGTCAAAGATATTTATTTATTATATGAGGAACATTTTTCCAAAAATTAGTAACGTATACTCTATTTGGAAATACATGAGAATTATAAGGTCCTGCAGAAGCATTACCTTAATAAGGGCATGTTTGGTGGTGGGACAGTGACTGGCTATAGCTGATAGAGTGGTATTTATTGATTCATAAGTAATACTCAATCAAAATCTTAATTTTTCATTAATGTGAAAATTTTTTTGAGATGGTGAATAGAAAATCGATTTTTCTTAAAATAAAAAAATAATTATTTTCTTTTCAATTCCTCGTGACCTGTTAGGCATATATAATAGAGGTGAGATGAAATTAAATAGGAAAGGAACCCAATTACGCTTGAGTCATAAATTATATATAGGTTTATCTAATCTGTATCTTGATACAGATTAAAAAAGTATTAATTATATTTTTTTAATTAATTTATATAAAAAAATAAAAATTAAGTTTAAATTTATCAATTACTTACTTAAAATCATTTAAGTGATATTAATGTTAAAAATAATATCTTATTTTTATTTTTATATAAAAATTTATTATAAAATAATACATTTAATGTATTTTAATTTGTATTCTTAATACACACATGATATAAATCCTTATATATATATCACGTAATAGAGTCTATTTCTAAACTTGAAACTAATTTGGGAAGAGACTCAAACTGATAATGCAAGTGCCAGAGATATTTATTATACGTGGAATGTTTTTCAAAAATTGGTAACGTATGCTGTTTTTGACAACGAGGAGAATGAAATGAAGTCCTCCATCAACATTGCATTAGTAAGGGCATGTTCGGTGGTAGGACGGTGACCGGCTATAACCGGTAAAGTGGTATTCATTGATTTTTTTTTTTTTTTTATTAATCTCTCGATACTTAATAATCGCATTAGATCTGATTAATTTGAAATCGAGTCATATTAGATCCTATTAAGGAAAAAATTCTCCTAACACTTATTTTTCTATTCATGATATCTAAACTCAAGATTTTATTTAAAGAAAATCAAATAACCTCCATTTGAACCCAATGATTACCACAAAACTTATGGAACTTAGGTAATTGATTTTTCCTTTTTTAACGTTACTGATGGAACTCGAATTTTACATCATTAAAATACAAATATAAGAAGTCATTTGTTAAAGCGAAAATTACCACAAAACCACAAAAAAACACTCTCATTCATTCATTGATTCTTTTTAAGTCACGAGTCAATAAGAAAAACAACCATGCACGTGAGAATGTGCTGAGCATCACGCGTGAAATGTGATGACCCCACTATCAGATTAGACGTGGCGTGCATGCAGCTTGGACATCCACTGAGCCATGGTCCCACCGCTTGATTTCCTTTTTTCTGAACCAACTCTAGAGGTAGAAGAAGAAAACCATTTGACTTTTGTGGAATGTAAAAACACTTGATTTTAATTTTCTTTGGACACTCACTTTGTAATGGAGATATGTGTGATATAAATTAGTTTTTTTTTTAACATAATAAAATCATTTACATGTTAATTAGAGAAAAAAAAATGAGATTTCATGAAGTTTAAATACATAACTTACAGAAGATGAACATATTAACGTGATCTAAATTAGTTAAAATTTGAAATTTTAAAAATATTAATATTAATGTTGTTGTTAATCATCAATTATATAAATTTATATTTTATATAATCAATTATATAAAAAATATTCAAGTTCCTCATCTTTAGGCCTAGTGGCTTACCATGTGTTTTTGTGAGAACATCATCTGAGTTAAGTGTTCGAGTCTCTGGATTTTCCTTTCCCTTTCCCCCCTTTATTGTAAGAATGACTGTAATATTGGTCAAAAAATAAATATATAAAGAGTATTCAAGAATAAGTGTTAGAGAGAGTATTTATTATAAAAATATAAACATATTCACGCATTAATAATATTAAAATATATGTAAATTTTTATAATTTTTAATATTAATTTATTATAAAAATACATTTATTACATTTTTAATATAAACATAAATTAGACGAACCTCCAAAATAAGCAAGATCCATCTGTTTGGTTGAGAAAGATTCTTGGGATTGTGCCTAGATTGTTGCCGGCTGGATTATGTTCTTTGTACGCATCCAAGTAGTCCTACTAGAATCTAGAATGTTATCTTGGCATAACCCAACAAATCAACCCATCAAATG